ATCACACATTGTATGCTTCCATTTGTATGAAGTATCTGGAATAAATGAATACAGAGACAAAATGCAGATTAGTGGTCCCCGGAAGCTGGGGACAGGGAGAATGGAGAGCAACTGCTTAACGGGCATGAGTCTTTCTTTTGAGGTGATGAAAATGTTTTGGAACTAGATACAGGTGGTGGTTGTACAACATTATGATTATAATAAATGCCACTGAATTGTTCACTTAAAATGGTTAATTTGATGTTATATGAATTTTCCCTTAATAAAAAACAAATTACCAACCAATTCACTCTTAACAAAAAAACTATCAACAAAATTTTCCTGAAATAACACAGGATTGAATCTGCATATTGAAAGGGTACACATGGACCTAGAATGATTAATACCAAGCTATGTTTTAGTAAGGTACTGGGCTTTAAAAATAGGTCAGGCAATGGGGGCCGGCCCAGTGCCATAGTGGTTAAGTTTGTGTGCTCTGCTTCGGCAGCCCAGGGTTCGTGGGGTTGGATCCCTGGTGTGGACCCCCACACGGCTTGTCAAGCCACGCTGTGGCGGCATCCCACATACAAAATAGAGGAAGATCGGCAATTTTCCTCAAGCAAAAAGAGGAAGATTGGCAACAGATGTTAGCTCAGGCCAATCTTCCTCACCAAAAAAAAAAAAATAATAAATAAATAAAAGCTATTAGAAAAAACAAAATAAAGCAGACAAAAGACCAAATCGCTTATAAGAGAAAGAAAAGATTAGGATTAGATAGCTCAATGGCAGCATTTTATACCAGAAGGTATGTTTAAAATACTCAAGGAAAGAAAATATGAGCCAGAGATTTTATATCCAGCCAAAGTGACTTCAAGTGTAAAGACTACAAATAAATAGTCATGAACATACCAGAAATCTGGGAATATTGTTGTGAGACCTTTCTGAGAAATCTATTAGACTAGAGAATGAGCTGAAGTCATAGGAGCAGCTTTGGTAAAAAGTCTGGTGGTGAGCATAGAATATGTTTACTAGTAGAACTAAGACAACTGGAGTTACAGATGATAAAATAATATTTAAATGTTATATGCTGAATGCTCTGCAATATAAATACAGTGCAACTATCAAAAATGGGAGAAAAAGAGTATTTTGAAAGTAGTGTAAGCTTGATGATTGTTCATAGTTATTAGCTGGAAATAGATAACACATTATTAAATGCTGGAGAAGAGTAAGGGAAGGGGGGAGAAAATGTTACTAGTTAATTTCATGACTGTTCATAGTAGGGACAATATCTTAAATACAATCTAAAGAGGAAATTAAGGATATTATCTGAAAGTAATTACTAGAACAAAGATACAAAGCTTCCAGAATAGTAAAATATATATATTTTAAAATCTAGCAAAGAGCAGTGAAGATTTTACATGTGTATGTGCTATATACAACTGTAACTTGAAAAATATGATGAAAGGTTAAAAATAAACAGACGAAATTATACCAGGTAAATGCAAATAAAATGAAAGCAGAGGTTGCAAACTTAATAACAGATAAGATAGAATTCAGGCCAAAAAGTATTTAATATGAGGTAGGAAACTATTGATGTACTGAGCTACATTAAAATTAAGCACTCTGTTCATCAAAAGACACTGTTAAGAAAGTTCTCCCATCAAATGGGAGAAAGTATTTGTAATCATACCCACTAAAGGAGTTCATAATAATATGTGTGTATGTCTGTGTGTGTGTGTGGAGAGAGACAACTCCTATAAATCAATAAGAAAAAAATAGACAACCCTGTAGAAAAATAGCCAAGAGACTTGAACAGACACTTCACAAGAGAATATCCAAATGGTCGATAAACATATGAAAAGGTGGTCAATCTTATTAGTGATCAAGAGGTTTAATTAAAACAACAACAAAATGCCACTACAGACAATACTCAACTTACGGTGGTTTGAATATATACTTAACAGAACTGTATTCAATATGTACCAAAAGACAGGTTCATAGCAACATCAGTTGAATAGTCAAAAACTGGAAACAGCACAAATGTCCATCAAAAGTAGAATGAAACTGATAAATTGTAGTATATTAACTTAGTGAATACTACATAGCAGTGAAAATGCATGAACTGCAGCTACACAAAACAGCACAAATGAATTTCATAAACATAATCTTGAGGTAAAAGCCGGACACAAATGATTGCATACTCTATGATTCCATATATACAACGTTCAAAAACAGGCAAAACTCTCTATGGTATTAGAATTGACTGTATGACTGAAGGTTTCCTTTGTGGATGGAAGTAGTGATTTTGTGCATAGAGGTAGTGATTGGGAGGAGGTCACAAGGAGAGTCCTGGGGGGCTAGTAGTGCCCTATTTCTTTTTTGGGGTGTTAGTTGAATGGATATGTTTATTTTCTGTAATTCGTTATATGTCTTCTTCTCTGATGTAAGTTATACATGAATAAAAAAGTTATGAAAAAGGAATGAAGAAGTTCTTTTGATATGGAGTGATCTCCAGGAAGTAAAAAAAGCAAGATGCAGGGCAGTGTTTGTATTATGAAACATTTAAGTTTGGTTTATAGCACGCCACTTCATTTCTTGTCCCTCTCAGGCCATCCCTGACTGGTTATTATACCCAACCCACAGTCCTTGGCCATCTGTTCTCCCTTAAACTAGGTCTTGGGATATTCACGTCTCTGTGCTCCTAGTCCCAACCCTAGTCCCAGTTTATCACTTGTTTATTTCCAACATTCTATGGGATAGTTTCTGTTGAATATATCATAGTTGACACAAAAATCAGCATGTCTAAAACTTAAACTCATCTTCTCTCTTGCTCGTGTCTAAATTAGCTACCATTCTAATCTTACTATTTCCCTCCATGGCTTTACTGTTCTCCAAACTTGAAATGTGAGTTATTGTTGACCTAATCTTCTGCTGGACATCCAGTCTGTAAGTGTTGCTGACAGTTTCCTTTCAGCATTGTAAAATGCTTTATTTCCATTTACAAAGTTACCATGGATAACGTGTCATTTATAAAGCTACAATAGGGTGTTGCTGGTGTCCCTGTCTTCACCTCCTTACCTGTAAATACTGTGTTGCTAAAATGTCATTGAGAGAATATGTTGCAAAGTTATATAGGGATGATGCTTGCACAACTCTATAAATATACTAAAAACCACTAAATTGTACACTTTAAAAGAGTGAATTTTACCTGCCGGCGCGGTGGTTAAGAGCGTGCACTCCGTTTCAGCGGCCTGGGGTTCACAGGTTCGGATCCCGGGCGCGCACCGACGCACTGCTTGTCTAAGCCATGCTGTGGTGGCATCCCATATAAAGTAGAGGAAGATGGGCACAGATGTTAGCCCAGGGCCAATCTTCTTCGGCAAAAAGAGGAGAATTGGCATTGGATGTTAGCTCAGGGCTGATCTTCCTCACCAAAAAACAAAAAAAGAGGGTGAATTTTATGGTATGTGAATTATATCTCAATAAAGCTGTTATTAAAAACAAAAACAAAAATGTCATTGAGAGCATGTGGTGATTTCCTGTCAGATTAAATCTCAGTTTTGGTTTATGATCCAAAACCATTCATTGTATCCATTCTCTTTCCTACCCAGTCTTGTCCAGTCTATCAATGTACAGTTCCTCTAGGTAGTCTAATCTCCTTGATAATAACATCTGCATGTTCTAGTAAGTGTTTCATATGTAAGATTAATAATCTTAGAATAGTCAAAGCCATGGATATTATCCCTATTTTAAAAGTGGGGAAACTTGAGTGGAGACAGAATGATTTATCTGGAATCACAGGGTTAGTATTAGAATTCATTTCATCTTTAAGATATCTATTGAGCATCTTTTATGTTACAGGCACTGGTTGGTGCAGTCGGAATATATATATTCCAATCATCTGATCCCTATATTCAAAGAATTTACCTAAGATGCTTCTAGTCTCTCTCTGTTTCTGCTAGTCTTCTTCCCATGTCTAGACTGCTTTACTGCTTCTGTTTTGTCCTTGTTGTCATTTAACTTTAAAGCCCTTCTAAACTCTGTTTTCCTCACTAACCCTCTTTAAACCTTCCTTTACTTCGAATTCCTTGGGACCATGTGAATTCTATATATATCTGTAACTTGCCACGTTTGTCTTTAGTTGGTTCACATGCATATTTATCACCTCAGTTGATATGAAAGTTCTCAAGGGCATATATAATTATCATCCATAATTTTAAATGTATTTTCCACAATTTTTTTCTCATTGTGCCGGCATAGGTCTGGGCCTCTAGATGGTTAGTAAAATTATGTTGAATTAAATAGAACACTAAGGCCTTGTCTTGATCTGTAATCTACTGGCTGGTTGGGAAGACCAAACACACACAAGGGACACATCCTGTGCACAATTGTAAAACAGTGTATCAATTGTGAAAAATGAAAAACTTCAAATTAAATGGTTAAGTGGCACTGATCTGTTGTTCTGCTACACTGTAACTGTTAACTGTATCTTAAAGTTAACTCCGATCTTTAGGCCCATTGTAGCCTCAGTAGCTCATACCTTAGCGCCTAAAATAACTTTACTAGATAGTGGTTAGGCTGATTTGGGCTAGTATTCTCTGGCATGAAAACAGAGCACCACTTATTGGCCTCTCCTCTAATATACTGTTAATGTTAGTGGACCACTGTAGCACATATTGTCTCTACAAGATGATGAACTATCCCATACCTGTGTATTTTCATGAACTTTCTAGATAAAGGTGAAACAGAAAAGTCTTAAAGTAAGCAAAGTAAAATGGAAGTAGCATTCTGTGTTATTAGAAGATGTTTATCGTCGAGTTCTCTTGCCACTCAAATATCTTAGTCATACTGTTGATTTTGTGTCGGTTTGGATGGATATCCTATAACTCAGATAGTGGTCCTCTAGTGTTCATCTGTTCATTTCAAAGATAGTCTCCCTATGTCATTCTTGAATAATAATTATTAGAGTCAAAATAAAGAAAATTAAGCATACTAACTGTATTTTATTGTTGTTTTATAAGGCACAGTTGGTGGATCTGAAATCTGAACTGACAGAGACCCAAGCAGAGAAAGTCGTACTGGAGAAAGAAGTTCACAATCAGCTTTTACAGTTGCACTCCATTCAGCTTCAGCTTCATGCTAAAACGGGTCAGAGTGTTGACTCTGGTACCATTAAGGCAAAATTGGTAAGTGATTTAGAGGGTGACATATACTTACACGTATTTTAGAAGATGAAGAGGACAATTTTTAATGACGCTTTTTAATTGTAAAAGGTAATATGTGCGCATTGGGGGAAATTTAGAAAATACAGGAAATGTAAAGATTAACGTGACCATCCACAGTCTCATCCCCTAGAGGTGATCAGTGATAATATCAATAAACAACTGATACTTAGAATAGGATTTTTCCTATTTAAAAGTATAGGTATAAATATATTTAAAAGATATGTATAATAACATATAAACAGTCTTTTCCCTACTGTGTAGTTAGGATTAAGTTCAGCTGCATTTAACAGAAATCCCAACTAAGATTGGGATTATTTTTGAATCGTACAAATTATATTCTCTCATTTTTCTTTCTTCTCTTAAAGAAGCCCTGAGACAGGCAGTCCAGAGCTGATATGGCAGCTCCACAGGTATCAGGGATCTAGGTTCCTTTTGTTGTGCTCTACCATTTTTAGCCCATGGTTTCTATCTTCAGGGTTTCTTCATGTCTGCATTCTAGGCAGGAAGAAGGAAGAATCTAAGGGAAGGGCAAAATGATGCTTCCCAGCTGCATTAGCCTTCTTTAAAGAACTTTTCATAAAATCCTCCTTAACAATTTTTGCCAACCAATTTAGCCATCTCATTGGCTATCCCAGCTGCATGTCAATCTCTTAGTTGGTCACATGGCCTCCTCTAGTAAAATTGGAGTTCTCTTAATAAGGAAGAAGGGGAAAATGGAATTGGGTGCCAACCAGTGGCACATTTTTTCTTTTGCTCTTAATATACTATAAGCATTTTCCCTGCCACTGAACACTTTGTAATGTTGGCATAATGTTTCATGATCTAAATTTTCCATAATTAACCAATGCCCTCTTAATCAATATGGGTTGTTTAAATAGAAATGTTTTTGTAAGTCTCATTTCAGTTTAACCTCATATGTATTAAGTGTGTACTATGTGCCAGACACTTTGTTAGCTATCAGGGACACAGCAATAAATAGGACAGATATAGCTTGGGAGAGGCAGGAGATGGAATGATGCTGATGTTGAGAGTAATACATTTTTTAAGTTTTACCTGTTTTCAGTTAACTCCATTTGATTGGTTAATTAGTTTCTAACACTGGTATGTTAAAATTGATTTAAATTAATATTTACATTCTCCTAAAGTCCTTTTAAATTCTGAAATTTTATGAATCTAAGTGTTTTTTTTTTAATTGAAATGAGTCAAATTCATAAATGCTTCTTTGGAATATTTGATGTTAACATTGAGAAACAATGTACATTTTCACTAGAGAAGAATTTATCTGAAGTTTTAATATTAAATTTGAAACAGGCTGCTACAGTGGAAAGACATTGAATCAGGTGTGTTGAATAATTCTGATAAAACAAAAAATTTTAATCTAGTACTATATAGTTAATACTGTTGCTAATGGATTTGCAAATATATTTGTTCTAACAAACTTTACCCAAATGATAATTCAACATATGGGAATTTTCCTTGTAATGATTATACCACTAGATAAATTCATTTGTTTGATATTTTTCTAATTATAAAACTTTTTTCTTATATCTTAAGTCTGTCCCCTCTGTGGAGGAGCTGGTAAGTATGCCATTTCTGTTTTGCTTTAATATGTCATGCTGACGTCTTCTTAATGTTTTATTTGCATATTACGTGTTGTCACTTTGTATTTGAAAATGATGTTAATGATGTGCCAATACCTGAGAAGTTCAGTGGGTGGCCCATTGCTCTTTTCTCACTACACATTGTTAAAAGATTTTTCTTTTGTTTGTGATTTGTAGCCATTATTTATAGAACCCATCAATTTTTGACAACTTCTGAGCCTTGTAACTTGCTCAAACCTCTACTTAGGAAAAGCAATTGGTTTTCCCACTTGAGTGTCGTGAAGATATATTAAACAGGCCTGGTTTTTTGCTCCTTTTCTATTTGAATTTATTCCCAGAGAAAGAATGTGCATGTTGGTTTTTTATTCATCCACTGCATGTGTTAATAACTTCTCAGCAGTCTTGAGAATTGTGTGGACTTTGAAACAACTAAATTTTGAAACCCTTTACCAGAAATTGTTTTAGAAAATAACAATATGCAAATTCTTAATTTTACCACCACCCCAACCTAATCAGGTTCCAATTTGTCATATGGCTTTACTTCTTTTGAAAACATACTATTTGGATATCTAAATTCAAAATGAACTTCTTGGTTGTTACCTAATAATAAACAGGTTAACTAAAAAAAAAAAAAAGTTTTTTCTTTAAATCTAAAAGTGATTAACTTCAGCTTTCTTAGTCCTGCTCTGGCTAGTGTCTGTTAATTTCAGGCCTGAGAGTTTGTCAGATTCATTAGGGGTTTGAATCATTAAAGCAAAGTGATGGCTTAATATGTTTCTCATATTTCATAAGTATTATATAAATAGCTCATTCAAGTAATTGTAAGTACATAATCTTCAACATAAAGTTTATTTAGCCCATAAACCAAAGAATTCTTGGTCTTCTAGGAACTCTTTTTCTGAAACAAACAGCATTAACCATAATAAATGTTATAAAAAAGAATTTTGTTCATGTTATCCAGACTGTGATTCTTCTGGAACTGATACCTGCCCTTTCAGGAAATAGGTTCTGAAATAAATTGAGATTTTAATAATTCCAAAGTTGTAAAAGGGGGATTCTAGATTATTAGTTCTTCAAATTCCTTAAAAACAATATCTAGAAGTTATGTTCTAGTGGTTATATTTTTTTACAGAAGTTGAAGAAGCCTGCTAATTAATCTTCCTTCTGTTTATCACATACATATCACATTTTTGATCAAAGAAGTGATAAATATAGACAACATTTGGTATTTGTCATTCATTTTAGCTTGTTAATTACTTCTTTATTTTTAAGATTGTGATACTCACTGCCCTGTATTTGAATATATTACATATTGATGTTTAAATATGTCACATATTGATATATGGTTGTCCAAGCAGTAGACCAAAGCGGTTAATTTAGTACCAAATATAGTTAAATTACCAAAACAGTGAAATTAGTACCAAAATATATTCCATGAATTGCTAAAAGTTTGCTTGTTGTTTCTCAGCTTCTTAATATCCAGAATAAAAAGAGAAATAATTATAGTAATCAGTACCCATACAGTAGAAGCAATATCATTTGCCATTTGCTCAAGAGAAACAATTTTTCCTGGTGCTAAGGTAGATCTTTAAGTCTCATAAAGGGGACATGGCGTATAGTGAACAGTGTCTTCCACATCTTGTCAACAAATATAACCATATTTTCACAGGATTTATAGATTCTGTAAATTAGTGAGTCAGTCAGAGCAGTTGTAAGTCAGTAGAAGCAGTTTTACTCAGGATAAATGCAAGTTTGCAGTGTTTGGATGGTTTTCTTGATCCAAAAATAACACTTAAAATATCTTTTAAGTGTTATTTTTGGATCAAGAGGCCCTTATTCTACTCTCAGAAGGGTTTTGTTTGGCCACACAGTTTGTGTGGGTGTGTAAATTCGAATTTGATTGACCTTAGGCAGGATTTTGTACCTTCTGTTTTTCACTCTACTTTGTCTTGTACCTGCCTATCTGTCCTGTGCTTATCCTGAAGGCATTTACATTTATAACCGTTATGATAAAAATTTGATGGCAAAGATCTTCAGGTTATATTCTCTGGCTAACACCTATAAATTCACATATATGGACTATCTACCAAGTGGAGCATAGGATGGCATCCTTATATGAGAGCTAAAATGGATGTGCATCCTATCTTATAGTAGGCAATTGAGGTCAGTATTTTCCTCAGAAAAGAGTTCTTCATTCATTTTAACATATGGACAAATAGATGAGCCAGATCCCAAAATTCAGTGATAATCTACACCATAGATATGCTTATCTATAGACATTTATAATGTGTAAATGTTTTAATGCAGTTGTTACCAGCATTTCTCCATGACCATAAAGTGTTTTTTTTTTAACTAGAATATCTGTTCTAATTTAAGCTTTGTAAGTTTCTTGTAGTCTTCTAAAATAAATTAACTATAGAATGTATCTCTATGTAACTGAATGATTTTGACTTACTTTATAGAGTTGTTTCATTAAAGCTAAATAAATGTTTGGGCACAACCACCAGAGTGATTATTTATTTTATTTTAGTTTCTTGAGTCATTTTTAGAAAATAAATACAGAGTAGATTCAATTATTCATTGAAGGCACTCCTATTAGCATGTGATAACATGAGCTTAGAGAAGACCACTTCTCTTAGTATTTTCAGTATCAAGATACTCCAAAGCATACAGTTATCTTATCTAGAAGTGGTTCCAACACCTTCAGGTACTAGTTAAAAAAGAACTGGATCCAAATCTGTGTGTTCCATTTTATAGAAGTGAAATGGTAGTTTTTATCATATGCTTTCATTGTTGGTATCATAGACTGTGTGCTTTTGTGTATTTTAAGGAACATGGTCTATTGCTAAAGAGTCTTAAAAGTATTTTCATTACGTTATTTTTTTTTTTTTAATTACAATAGGAAAGAGAGCTTGAAGCAAACAAAAAAGAGAAAATGAAAGAAGCTCAACTTGAAGCTGAAGTGAAGTTGTTGAGAAAAGAGAATGAAGCCCTTCGTAGACATATAGCTGTTCTGCAGGCTGAAGTTTATGGCGCAAGACTGGCTGCCAAGTACTTGGATAAGGAACTGGCGGGAAGGTGTGTAAAACACAGTGCCCTTGTCCTCTTAAGTGACAAATTGGATATTTAATGAAGTTGACTCTTATCTCATGTGGTAAATTAATCTTTACCATAAGAATTATTTTACAGTTGGGTATAGCTTACTGTTGTTAACTTAATATTGATAGCGTTATATATTGCAGATTTATTTAGCCATACTAAATAAGTATTTCTGGTTTACACACACACACACACACACACACACACACACAGATAGTAACTTACTGTGAAATGCTAACAACTCTAGAGCTGCATTTTTCAGTCATTTCCAGCCTTGACACCATAACAGATGATGTTCATAAGTACAGGTTGACTTCCATAAGGAATTCTTTCTGTGATCACTGAAACCCAATCTTTCTTGCCCCTCAAAAACATGTTGGAATGAGTCATTTTATCATAATAATAGAGTTCTGCTTGTGTTAATTTTTTACAGTGAATTGTTCACAAACTTTGGTGATTTATTATTAGTACTAAATAATTTTATGCTCCTTATTTTAATGTCACATTAAGAACTGATGTGAAGCAAATAAAAGTAATTTATATCATGTTGAAGTGCACATTTTCTAATAACTTTTACCACATTTAAATAATTGTTTTATAAAAAGAAACTGTCATTAGAAGAAGTGTTTTTGTACAGTTAGACTCATGTAAAGGCTAGTATTCAATAATATCTGAGTTTGATGACCTACCTTGATTGCCTGCAAGACATGAAAGACGTTAATTGACGTTAGTCTCATAAATTGTTTTTTAGATGTATTTGCATTAAGTACATGATTAAAGGTCTCATTTATTCTTTTTTTTTTAAACTAGTTATCCCTTGAAGCCATCTGTCCTTTTCAGAGTTTTCATGTCTTTACAAATCTGGGAGATATCAGGAAGTTCCTGAGTACTAGTTTTATTATTAACTTAGACTTATGCAAAAGCTACTTGTGTTTAGTAATTCTTCTGAATTCTCCCTATAGTACACATAATGAAAAACTAACTCTTGAATTAACTCTTTTTCCCAATATGAAGGGTCCAACAAATACAATTACTAGGACGAGATATGAAGGGACCTGCTCACGATAAGCTTTGGAACCAGTTGGAAGCTGAAATACATTTGCATCGTCACAAAACTGTCATCAGAGCCTGTCGAGGCCGTAATGACCTGAAACGACCTCTGCAAGCACCCCCAGGCCACGTACGCTTGCTTTCTTCCTCTTTCTCACTCAACGCCTTCCTTCTGTCTTTACTCAGAAGTCTCTTCTATTTTTTTATTCTAGTAGTATTAAAACCTTTATTTAAAAAGTGAAAGTGGGATTAAACTTATTTAAAACAGATGCATATTTAAAGTTTTGACAACCCATTGCTCTTTTCAGACTTACCAAGGCCCTGAAAGTGATATTTCTGAACACAGTGAACTATTGCTAGCAAATGCACGTTGCAGTACCTTGGCTTGTATTTCATAATTTTCCTGGATCATGATTAGACATGTTTAAATTTATTTTAAGTTTAGCGGAGAGTGTGTGGTCATATTGATAAATTGGCAAATATTTTGGGGTAGTTCTTTAAGGGAATTTTTGGTAACTAAATTCAAATATAGTTTCTGAACTAACATTTACACCTGTTTGGTCTTGAATTAAGATAGAATTTGAGATCTGTATCCAATTGTCTGCTTCTGTAGCCACCATTGTATGGGAGCTTTCCTTTCTATCTAGATAAATCTTTATTAAATTTCGTTACAACAGCTGCTTGATAATACAGACCTTAATATAATAAAAGCGTGTCTAACTCCTAACCAGTGGCTTACATATCTTAGTACCAGATAAAGCATGGCCTTAAATAGTAAAATTATTTGTTGCCTCTGTAAAGATTATTGTAGGAAGAATTGATATATACATGGAGTTGGTGGGAGAGGAGTGGGAATTGCAATAAACACTTACGCCATTGTCTTCTCTGGAGCATTGGTGGTCCCCATTAACTTCCAGGCAATGGCCAGATGACAAAAGTTATTTTATGCTAAATAATTAGAGTATGAACTTTAACCTGATAATCATGGGGTTTTTAAATAAAATGGTAGACTTAATTAAGATTTAACATTATTTTGACAATTACTTTGGTATAGTGAAGAAGATATATTGGAAGAGGGCCTAACTGGAGATACATTCGAAAGATACTGTAGAAATCCAAGGAGAAAGTGAGGAGAGCAGGGAAAGTGCACTTGAGAGGAAGGACAGGTTTGAGAGAATTAGAATCAATAGGACTTGGCGTCTAACTGCTCTTGGTTAAATAGGTGAGTGAGAAGGAAGAGTCTAGGTTTTTGGTTTGGGCAGCTGGGTGAAGTGATGGCATTCATTGATAAAGAAAATAGAGGAAAAAGTAGATTTTGGGGAAAAGATGATATCAGTTTTAGACATGTAGTGTTTGAGGTGCCAGTGGGACAGCCAAGATATATCCAGTTGGATATATGACTCTGGAATTCAGGAGAGAAGTCTGAGTTGAAGAAATATTAGGGAAGTCATCCTTCTGTTATAACTGAAACCATGGAATTGATTGTCACACAGGGAAAGTATATAGAAAATAAAAAGAACAGGAGCCCAAGGATGGAAAGAAACGTTTATGGAGTGAGGGAAAGAAGTGGATCACCAAAGGAAGGAGCCTGAGTTGGAGCTGTAAGATACAGGCCATCTAGGAAAGTAGTATAATAGAAACCAAGGAAAAGAGAGTTTCAGTGAGGGAGTGGCAAACAGTATCAACTTTCTGCAAGGTTCAAGTACGGTAGTGACTAAATAAAATAGTCATTGGATGTAGCCATATTGGTTATCAGTGACTGTAGAGAAGACAATTTCAGTGGAGCAAGTCGGGGCAAAACCCTAATTATGGGGATTGGAGAAATGAGTGTGGGAGGCAAGAAGGAGATATAGTTAGGATAACTGGGAAGGTTAAGGAAATATGGAGGGAGGATTGTAGCTAAAGAAGACAGTGGGCAATGGAAGGGTTTTTATTTTGTTTTGTTTTGTGTTTGTACATAGTCAGTGTTTTAAAGCTGGAAGAGGCTTACAATTTGCTTATATGCTACACAGGGGAAGAGTAAAGGTACCAGAGAAAGAATTATTGATGGAGCAAGGTCCTTTATTTAAGAGGTAGACACCAGGGCTCAAAGGAATGAAAAAGTAATTAATGATCCAATTGGCAATTTTTCAACCCTACAAATCAGTTAAAATGGATGTAGATCTTTAAGATATTTTCCAGTGAAGATAAACAGTTACCCATTTTTATTTCTTGAAGATATTTGTTCATCAATTAATTCTGGCAAGAATTTTTTTTGTAATGTCCTACAATTTAAAAAGAGATGTATCAGTATTAAAGAAATGAACAAAAAGGTGAGAAAATCATCTATACATTTCACTATATTAACAGAACAACTATTTTTGCTTTTCCATTTTATCTGTTACTTTCTTAACACTATTGTGTGTATCAATTCCAGGAAATTAATAAAGATTTCTAAAAGCAAATTATATAGCAGGAGTTTATTCTATTTGGTATATTATTTAAATAGTACTAATTTTTCTTCTTTTTTCCCCCCCAATAAGGATCAAGACTCTTTAAAGAAAAGCCAAGGTGTTGGTCCAATTAGAAAAGTTCTCCTCCTTAAGGAAGATCATGAAGGCCTTGGCATCTCAATTACAGTAAGAAGTAGTGCTTCCAGTCTCCTTTTCTGCAGTCACCTAGTATAATCACGCTGCTTTGTAGGACATCATTGCGAAACAAAGTATTCGGGATGTATTTTCTAAATAACTAAATTTATCCCCATGGGCACCAACACTTTCGTGTAAACTTTTTTTTTGTATGTACTGTTATGTATTACTGTAGTAATAGTATTAGCTTAGTAAAAGTACTACTTTAGTAAGCACAGTTTAACATTTTCATCATGACTCAGGTCGTGGTTCTGTACCATATCCTGTGATGCCTCTAGAAGCCTTCAGGAATGGATCTGACTGTTTTTTTTCTGTTAAATGGCTCCAGATTGTAGTGTTCTTTTCTCTAGAGTATCTGTTATCTTCCTGTCTCATTTCTTTGCTGTCAGATTTCATTGGCTCTTGAGTCCAAATATACTTCCTTTTTAAATTGGATGCCTTCGCAAACAGTTGTCTTGGGTAACATTCCTGAGAGAAATCTATTATATAGTACATAGATTTGGCGTGATTTTGCTGTTGTTCAGAGCTTTGTTCCAGATGAATGAATAAGGTGGCTTTACTCTAATTTTCCTTTGGTAATGCTTAGGCACTACATAAGTTCATTTGCTTTCTGGTATTGCTTAATGTAGGAATGTTTCTTATAATAAAAAGTTTATCCAATGGATATTTATTGAACACCAACCTTTTGGAATGCATTGCCCTCAAAGAGCATAAATTTTAGTAGGAGAAATTATATATACACACACACACACAAATAACTATGGTACAAGCTAGAAAGTGAAAGGTACCAAATACTGCATTTCATCAATTCTGCTTTGCATGTTTTTTCACATTTTAGCATTTCTGAAGTTGAAATTCATCTTACAATCTTATAGTTATTTTTGTGCTACATAAAATAATGGTATGTCTTATCATTCATAGTGATTTAGAATTGATAAAAATATGTTAGTGCTATGGACTACTGATACATAAAATATTTTTATTTGTGTTTAAAAGAGTTTAGCTGGTGGTAGTTTTCTGGTTTTTCAGGGTTCCTTTTTTTTTTGGCTCTAGAATGTGTTTTAGAAAAGCACATGTATGTTATTAATCATTTACTCAGAAGTAACTCTTTGATAATCATAATAATTTACCATTACCTAAGTAACAAATAAGATTTCACTCAGCATAGACAGTATAGTATAGGTGCTTATTGAAATATATTTTTAAGAAAATATTTTGTTAGAATAGTGTGTGACTATACAAAGAGTAAACTAATTTACTGCTTTTGTTTGTTTGTTTTTCTGGTTAGGGTGGGAAAGAACATGGTGTTCCCATTCTGATTTCTGAGATCCACCCAGGGCAACCTGCTGATAGATGTGGAGGGCTACATGTGGGAGATGCTATTCTGGCTGTTAATGGACTGAACCTAAGGGACACAAAGCATAAAGAAGCTGTAACCATTCTTTCCCAGCAGGTAAGTTCCCTTTATGTAATTAAAACTGGATCTGTCAGTTGGTTCTTTTTGAAGCTATTGAATATTTTATACTTTCCTATAAGGTTTCTCTTATATAAAGATACTAGTTTCCTTTGATTTGGGGCTTCTATCGAAGATTCAGCCAGATTTACTGAAAAAGGAGATTTTATTTGCTCTCTTCCACAGCTGTATAACTGAGCAACTTACTTAAGTCCTCTGTGCTGCAGTGTCCTTATCTGAAAGCAGTAAGGATTAAGCATGTTAATACATATAAAGTGCTCAGAATAAGACCTGGCACTTAGAAAGCAAAACATCATTAATGACTGAAACACTGTACAAATATATTATAGAAAAGACAAAGCTAGAAGTGTATTGATTTTAAAGTCATTAATGTTAGAACCGAAAGGTCCTTAGAAATCATTTAGCCCAACCCTCTGATTTAAAATGAGTAAACAGAGGTTCTTAGAGATTAAATGATTTGCTCAGGATTGCAGAGCAAATAAACTAGAGTTGGGATTCATATCCAGGAGTCATATTTGTTATCCAGTGTAGTTAAGATTTTTTTGTTTTGTTTTGTTTTTTCTTTCAAGAATAGGGTTGAGGGAATTGGAGAGACGTTGGTAGTATGCTGAGATGTTTGTTGGATCATCAGTGTAGTATGCCAGTGTGGAATTGAATCTCAGTGTTGGAAGTGAATTTATAGCTCATTTGGTTCAACTCTACATGATGCATAAATCTCTACAGTATCACTAAATAAATAATTGCATTAAAAGGAAGGTTTGTTGATGATAAAGCTGTTCATTCCATTGTACATTGCTGATTTTTAGAAAGCTCTTCCTCTTATTAAGCCTAAAATCTGTGTCTCCGTGACAGCTACCCACAGATCAAATTCTGTCATTTAGAACTTTACTGAAGACCACAGCATTGTTCATCTGTCTCCCCAAAATGATATTTTTAAAGCATTATCTGATAAGAGAGATCTACGAATGCAACCCTAGCCTCAAGTTAGTGTTTTCTTAACCCAGCTTGGCTGTCATCCAATGGCATAAGAGTGGGATGAATGCAGCTGTGGTAGGCAGTCATAACGTTTTAAGGAAATGCTAAGCACATGTTAAAATTCTGAAGCATAACCTTAAACTGCTGGGAAAGAGGAGCACCAAAGAGACTTAGTGAGGAGCGGTAAAAAATGGCTTGCTTTCTTTTGAGCAAAGGCAGGCCATCATTTTCAGAGTTGTAAATACCAGACTTGTGTGTAGTGATTATAGTCTCTTATTAAATGACAATTATAGCTTGGAATTTTTTTAACATAAAATCTGTAATCTTTACTTGAACATAAGGTTGTTAAAGAATAACAGTACAAATATTGCACATTTAGTCTAGTGTGGTAGAAAGAGCAAAGAGCAAGGACTTTGGATTCAAATATCTGTTTTTCTGTTTTACTTGTTCATGATGTTGGAAGAGTTATCTGCTCTCTCCAGGACTCACTCAGGTTTCTCATTCATGTAAAAGAGACTACAATAGAGTTATTCTGAGAATTGAAGGATATAATTTTGCACAATAAATATAGTAATTTCTATAGAATATTACTGAACATAATACCTTGATTAACACTATGTCTGGTACTCACTGGAAGTTAAGGCTCAAGACCTATTCAGTAAGGAACAAGAAATCATTGTACAGAGGTTTCTTGAATTAGTCAAGGAACAGTTTGTGCAATGCCCTTAGGTGCAACTTTAATATCTATTTAGATGGATTTGCTGAATTGCTATGTAAAGTACAAAATGGCAAAATGACTTTTAAACTGAACATTTGTTCCAAAATTCTGTAAATTGAATAGTTAACATCCTTTTTTATTTTAGGTCTATTAGCAAAAATATCGTGATCAGTAGAAAGAGCTACTGTAATATTAAAAAGAAATTACTCATAGAGAGGATTCATGGAGTTGGTCTGGACACAATGGCTTCTAAGTTCTCCTCTATCTCTTGAGATTCTAGAATTTCATTATTTATTGTCTTGAAAGGAACGACATCTGAGGTCTGACTACTTCTCCCCACCCCAAAGAATTTGGAAATCCTTTTTTAATTACAATTAGAATAACTTGACTTCTTCATTTTCTTTCCCCTTTTAGAGGGGAGAGATTGAATTTGAAGTAGTTTATGTGGCTCCTGAAGTGGATTCTGATGATGAAAATGTGGAATATGAAGATGAGAGTGGACATCGTTACCGTCTGTACCTTGATGAGTTAGAGGGAGGTAGTAATCCTGGTGCTAGTTGCAAAGACACAAGCGGGGAACTCAAAGTGTTACAAGGTAAAAATCACTCTAAATTTATTATTATTTATTATTAATAAACTTTTAAAAAGAAAGCTTCAGATATTCTCAGTAACACTATTTTAATGATTCATTAACAGAATGCATAACTTTCCCTTGCTTATGGTTTTATTGCACACAGGTAACTATACCAAAATTTTATTTACATAAAAGTTTTTCCAGATTCATCTTGGAATTTAAGACAGGTACATTACTTGAACTACAAATGATCCTTGAAAAATAAATAAAATTCAAGTTTTCTAGACTCTGAAACAAAAACCAACATGTCTTTTAGAGTAGATATATCTTAATGTCATCTTGCTGTCTTAATGCAAATTCTTCTGTCATACAATGATTTATAGACTAAATATGAGTAAGTGATTAGACTGTTGTCTGTGATTGTTATTAGAGTCAGGATATGTGATCTTAAGGATTTTTGGTTTGGGTCCTTTGCTATCATTTACACATATTTTAAAGAAAAATTGTAGCACTTTCTTTTACATAGAGCATCGGTTCTTAAATTGTGATCCATGGATCCCTGGGGGTCCCTGAGACCTGTCAGGGGGGTCATGAGATCAAAACTTTTCATAATAATACTAAGACATTGTCTTTTTTTGCTGTGTTGATATTTGCACTGATGGTGCAAAAGCAATGGGGGTAAAACTACTGGTGCCTTAGTATGAATCAAGGCAGTGACACCACTGCACTTAGTGATGCCACTGTACTAGTGACACCACTGTACCAGTGCTCATTGTTTTCCTTGTCATCCACTCAGAGTAAAAGAAGAAGAAGAAGAAGAAAATGTCAGTTGCACTTAAGACTATCCTTGATGAAATAGTAAAAACTGTTCATTTTATTAAATCTTGACCCTTGAGGACATGTCTTTAATAGTCTGTGTGATGAGAGGGGAAGTAGGTGTAAAGCACTCAGTCTGCATGCTGAACTAAGATGCTGGTCTTGAGGAAAAGTACTTAAGTGATTAAGTTGCTAGCTGAACTAGCCATGTCTTTCATGGAAGACAATTTTTACTTGAAAGAATGACTGACAAATTATGGGTTGTTCAGACTGTTTGGCAGCCATTTTCTTTAAAATGAACAAAGCGAGTCCATTGCCTCAAGGAGAACAAGTGACAGTACAGTCACGTGCTGCATAACAATGTTTCAGACAACAATGGACCGCATATGTGACAGTGGTCCCATAAGATTAGTACCATATAGCCTAGGTGTGTAGTAGGCTACACCATCTAGGTTTGTGTAAGTACACTCTATGATGTTCGCAAAACGAAAGAATCGCCAGTGCATTTCTCAGAGTGTATTCTTGTTGCTAAGTAATGCATAACTATGTATTGCCAGTGATAAAATATGAGCTTTCAAGTGAAAATTTGAATTTTCTAAGATGCATCAACCACATGAGCTTGACAGCTTCCCAACACTTAAAGAACTTTTCTAATAAGATTGGTGGTAGTATTAATGAATGTGATTTTTTGATATAGTAAAACAAAATGTGTCAGTTTTTAGAATTGCTCCATAACTCAGTATATACATATATATATATATATTTTTGCAAATGACCAGTGTATAATGTTATAAAATCCTGCATGGTTAAAATAGATATAGTAAAACAAAATGTGTCAGTTTTTAGAATTGCTACATAACTCAGTATATACATATATATATATATATTTTTGCAAATGACCAGTGTATAATGTTATAAAATCCTGCATGGTTAAAATAGCCATTCAGAGTGCAAGGTAAACAAATGGATTTTAATGTACCAGAGTGCAAAAAGTTCATAGATGTGATTTCAAATGCTATATTGTCAAATTTTGGTATAATATCAAAGAACAATATTGACAGTTATCTGAAAAGGCTATTAAACTACTCTTCCCTCTTCCAACTACATATCTGTGTAAAGGTGAACTTCTTTCATATGCTTGTAACAGATTGAGCAGAAGCATGTATGAGAATCCAGCTATCTTCTATAAAGCCATACATAAGGATATTTGCAAAATTGTAAAATAATGCTACTCTTTTTTCCTCTTTCTTTTGGCTAAGATCGGCTCTGAGCTAACATCTATTGCCAATCCTCCTCCTTTTTTTTTCTCCCCAAAGCCCCAGTAGACAGTTGTATGTCATAGTTGCACATCCTTCTAGTTGCTGTATGTGGGACGCGGCCTCAGCAGGGCCGGAGAAGCAGTGCGTCAGTGCGCGCCTGGGATCTGAACCCGGGCCGCCAGTAGCGGAGCACGCGCACTTAACCACTAAGCCATGGGGCCGGCCCGTACTCTTCTAAGTTTTTTGGAAAAGAGAGTTATTTTCACTAACGAATATGTTATTTATGTTAACATTTATTGGGTTTATTGTCATTTTTAACAAAGTAATAAATTTTTTTAGATTTCTCAGTTTCAATTATTAATATGGTAAACATCAGTAACCCACATAACATTAATAACCCACACGAACAGAAGCTCTTTGGAGTCCTCAATACTTATTAAGAGAGTAAAGGCATTCGGGACCAAAAAATTTGACAACTTCTGGGGTAGAGTTTATAGTGAATGGATGAATTGTTGCCTTTTTGGTAAGCCTGTATGTTGAATTACCTACACAAAGACATTATTATTAAAGCAATTATTGTTCTCCGCTGCATCTTTTTGTTTTTGTTTTTGTTGTTTTTTTTTTATTTTTTATTGGTGATCCCCATGCATCTTGAACAAAACTATTGTGGCAGTATGTCAAAGCCTCACACTGTTGGGCTGTTCTCCCTTCGATTTCATTGTCTTGCACGCTTTCTGCTATTTTCTGTCAGGATTAGAAAGCTTGTCCCTTTGTTTTTTTGCAGCTGAGGCTAAAAGACATCTCTATCACCTATGTAAATTGCAGACCACCTAAAATGTGGCTCAAATAACCAAAAATGTGTACTCTTAGGATATATTACTATTAACTGACTCAGATTACAAAAAATATATCCATTGGTTATTGTTTAGCACATGTCCATACTTCATACCTCCCTAAATAGATGACATAGTCAACTCTCATTTATTTGTAAGCCTATTATCTATTTTGTAGATTAACCAAAATTACTTTTAAATTTTATCTGGACATTGTCTTGCCAAATGAGATTTTTAGTGATAAACTAGTATGTGCCTCAGTGAAATGAAGTTAAATATTCTGAAAGCAGTATGTAAAAGAAAATCAATTTACAGTTCAATAGAAATTTCTATAAGAAGAATTGATTGAATTTTGCAATTGTGTGTATCAATTCTAAATTTCATGGAAAATTTGCTAGGAAATTTTATACAATTTTTAGATAGTTCCAATAGATAATATTAAAAAATTTGTACATTTGATATCTGCTATAAGAAGGAAGAATTCCTTTGTCAGAAATTGCTAACCTGATTATTTAATCTAGGGCCCTGTTATTTGCCTCATATTATTATCATTAATTATAGTGGGTCTTCCTTTGTTTTTGCTCAATAAAATTATGATTTTTTATTTTTTTAGACTAGAGAGTATCTGCTTTTTTCCTCTTTCTTTCAGGATTTAATAAGAAGGCAGTAACTGATGGACATGAAAATGGAGATCTAGGAACTTCAAGTGAAACTTCGCTAGAAGACAGTGCTTCTAAATTAGATGATCTGCACAGTCTGTATCATAAAAAATCTTATTAAATTGACTATATCCCCCTGCAAGATTGTTAATCAGACTGTTCTGAATTTGGGGCGCTAGGGAAGAGAGTAACAAAGACTATACAAGATCAAGGGAGGCTGTTTGTTGCCTAAATGAAAAGTGGGTACCTCAGGGCTTCATGTGAACAATTCTAAACACGTAAAACTCCGTTTTCTGTGGTATACCGTAATTAACTATTGCATGTAAAGCAATTTTGATTTTCTTAAAATTGTAAAGCACCAAAGCATGTGTTTCCCAAAGGGATATTACTAGGCTCTTAAGTACCCAATGAAGCAGTTTCGTTTGGTTCCTTTCCTTGAGTAGGACAGTGCTAACTGGAATATAAGAAATAGCCTTTAAATACAAGAGAATAAATGAATTCATATTATATATTGCAGAATGTTAAGTACAGTGTTTCAAAGGACAGAACTTGACTCAATGAATTGCAGAAATGTAGGCTTGACTTAATTTTTTTGAAACTGAAAGAATGGTTTTGTTTTTTTTTAATTTATTGTGCATACTGATATCTAAATCAGTTCTTAATGATCATTTATTGTAATGAGTTTGCCTTTCAGCTTTATTCGATGCAGTACAAAGTAGTTTTCTTTAAGCAATCCTTTATCAATCAATGCTGCACTAGAAATAGTTTTCGAAAAGTTATTGTACATTGTACTTTTCTGGTTTGTAAAAAACGCAGATGAATGTAAAATATCTGTTTGCAATTATGTTGATCTGTGTGCATGGTTAGTGGAGCATTACATTATTACTGTTTAGTCGGAAACGCTTTTTTTCTGGGAGCCACGAAAGACAGTTTTATACATTTTGAGTTGTTCATAAAGTTTATCTTGTGGTAGTCCTGGCACTTAAAGATACATTTTTCTGGCAGTGAAAGCTCAAGTTGATTACTATGTCAACAAAATATGTTGCATTCAAACAGCAGTTTTTTTCTCAGAGTAACTGACTTGCCAATCATCTAAAGAGCTGAGGTGCTGGTGGGCAAGATAGAGGAAGACGTTTTGATCCAGTAATTGTTTTGTTTGGCTTTTTTTGTCAGTGTGATGTGTGACTGAAGGGCTTTTCATATGCAAACGACAGATTTGCTAGCTCTCTTATCCCAGGATGCAGCATAGAGCGCTTGCCCTCTTATTTACAGGCCCCTGAACCCAGCTGGGGAAAGGAAAACATTGCATTGGAAGAAGTGATAGTCTTGCCAATATCACTGTTTTATTATAGGATATAGGTTTAAGGGGATATTAAGTGGGGAAAACCTACAAGGCTTTTAGAGTATTATCAGTATCTTCATTTCTAATATTCAGATGTTATGTGATATAAAACACATTTTCTTGTCTTTCCTAGATGCACTATATATTTGTTCATAGGTAAATCTATAAAATGTATATTTTTTTTGGTGGTTTTGCTATTTATAAATTTTATGTTTTAACTGTTGCTCATTTATGGCTCGTTTGGGGTGGGGTTTTGTTCATCTGTATATCACCATGTTAGTTTGTAATAGAAATGCACTTCATAGTATGTTGTTATTGATATTAAAATACCTTAGCATAACGTTGCCTCTAAGCAAAAGCTAGTATTTAATTGTCCCACTGAATAAGGAAGCTACGTGTTACTGTTTGCTCCTGACAGGCTAGGCCCCTTAAAAGAAAAAAAATGTTTTTTCCTCTCTATTCTCCCTACTCCAAACACATAATCTCTATGCATGACATGAGATCTGCAGACTGGATTTTAGCCAGTGTATTCATTTACTCAGAAAAATTTCCATTGTAACATATCTGAAAACTTTGTTGTTGTGACTTAAAACCATGTTTTTCTTATCTTTTTAAAACACAGCCTTTGGGATGGGATGACCATAGCATTTTTTCAGAGAATATCCTTTATTTACTATGACTGAATCCTTAGGAAATACTAGCTAAACCTTTTGATTTTCAAGAACTATCTAGTAAGTCTATAAAGAGTTTCTTAGAGCCTTGAATTGGCATTTCTTTGAGGATGCTGTGTACGAAGGATTGTATGAGATGGGTGTGATATAAACTCCTGTCAAGGGCTGATAAGCAGAATGAAAAATTTTCCGGGTAGTTTAAAATTGTACAGGTCAGTTCACCTGGGTTTGCAAGGCTACGTGAGAGCAACTGTTGCTCAGATGCTGCTGTGAGCTTCCTGTCAGGTGTTCAGAAAGGACCCAGTTAAGAGTTCATTTTAGAATATATGGTTTTGAGGGGATAAACTAAGAGTTATAGACTTTTTCCAAAGGACTAAATGAGAGGCAGTTGTTATATTTTCACATTTATAGGAAAGAAACTCATAACACTCAGGTTTCTAGGACAAAACCAAACAGATAAGGAGAGAACTGTTGCAAAGCCATTACAGTTAAAAAGTAAAAAGAAAAATACACACATGCACACACAAACACAATAGCTGAGGAAAAACTTTCAATAGAGTGTGAGGGTTGTGTGTGTGTGTATATATTTACATTTTAACCTCTAAAATTCTCTTCTACAATATCTGTTGTGAATGAGATGGAAAAACAACATTTGGGTTATGAGACTTGTTAAAATAAACATAAGAGAAATGAAAATTTTTGAGTCTTGGTAATTATAACTGAACAGTTGCCAAAAGTTAGCACAGCTTGTCGTTGGTGCTGGTTTTATTCCCCCCACAGTGGGCTTATTTTCTTTTCATATTTAGAAACAAAATATATTGCTTCCTGTGTGAGTTGCACATTATTTGACATCCTTATTATGTAATCCACTATTCCACCTATCCAGTCTTCCACTTAGGGTCGGCCTCAAATCTATAGGATTTATGACAAATGTATTAGATCTAGTTGAGTTTCATATTTTTTTATTAGCCTGTAAATAAAGATGGCATTACATTAAAATGGTATTGATCTCCTTTTTTAAAAAAATAAACATTTTACATTTCTTTCACATTAAATATTTTAGTTCATTATTTATTTCTATTAGCTTCTATTATTTGTACCAACATGTCATAAAGTCCATGCAAAGGCTGAACCTAGTTTTTTTTTTTGGTAGGAATTAACTGTTTGGTCTTAGGAACTGTTTAATATGAGTGAGCTAAACACGTCGGTTGGAAGGAGCTGCCTGAGCAACTGTGGGAGCAATTTTGTGCCGCAACTTAGCAGACGGCAGAAACTCGAGTCTCCTTAGGGTAGTTTTGGGTTACAAATGTTGATAGCCAATGTTACCTATGAGCATAATATTGATACGCATTAGCAAACCAAACCTATTAGATACCATCTAAGAGGATATTCTTCCATTTTATCTAAGCATATATAATTTAGAAGTTCCCAAATTATGTTAAATAAGTTTTAGAAACACCTGTAAACATTGTTCAGCTTCTTTGCCTCAGAAGTTTTATATATGGTCATTTATAGTCAACCCAAGAACGAGATGTGAAATGTGTAGGAAAGCCTTTTCTTTGTTAAAGGTATCTGAGGTCAATCAGGAAGATAAATGGTATTTTATTCTGAGTATTTATTAACATAAATCAATTTTAGAAAATTACGTGTTATGAACATTTAGAAATTCTTATTTTTTGTCATGGACTAACCTTGATTTAGCCCTAATACAATATGCTGTCAGTTTATTTATTTATTTTTAATAATTTTATTTATTTTTCCCCCAAAGCCCCAGTAGATAGTTGTATGTCATAGTTGCACATCCTTCTAGTTGCTGTATGTGGGACGCGGCCTCAGCATGGCCAGAGAAGTGGTGCGTCAGTGCGTGCCTGGGATCCGAACCCGGGCCGCCAGCATCGGAGTGCGCGCACTTAACCGCTAAGCCACGGGGCCGGCCCTGTGTGTCAGTTTAAAGCTCCCACGCCATCAAGCAATTTGGAAAAGTCTCGTTCCAGAATTCGTCTGCACAGGATATTGTTTGATTTATGAAATGTAAAAGATTATTTGATTTTCATTGTTAATCAGTGTTTAGTTTAGGTGGTTTTATATGTTTAACCAAAAGGTTTTGCAAATTACCATGTGCTGTTGGTGCTACATTTATTTGATAACAAATCTTTTTCAGGTGTACTTTGAGAGCTGTAACCACTGTTGTGTCTCAGATCTCCAATAGGAGGGTGCATAACTGAGTGAGGGAAGGCACAGCTGCTGCCCTCTGAACTCCACCCACGTGTTAACACAGAGGCTCCGCTTCTCACCTGCTGCTGCCAGCCAAAGACTGATCGTGACAGGGATGTTATGACTCCTTGACTTTGGCTTGAGGACCCCTGACAATCTTGCCAGACTCCGTTAGGATTACATTATAGTCTCTAAGTTGCTTTCACTGAACCTTCGTCCCTCCTTTTGTTCACCTGGGGTCATACCTTAATGAGGATCTGGTTGCCTCCCAGCCTCCCACCAACGCTAGCTTCCTCCCAGTTTTTCCTCACCAGTGCTGCCCTAATAAATGGATTACACCGCTGATCCCTTCTTGGTCTTAGTGTCTGCTTCTTGGAGAACCTAGACTAACACAAGTGGACCAGGAGTAAGATCTGAGGAAACAGGTTAATAGGAGATTAGGAACTGGCTCATCTCCCACGCAAAGGGTGAAGAGGATGACATCCTGGTCGGTAAGTGAGGTACATATAGTCCTTAGCACAAGGTCATGGCTCAGTTACTAAATATTTCACAGATGGTGTGCAGAAAAGAATTAACATAGCAGGCCTGACCCTGTTACCCTCAGAAAGGCCTGCTTGCGAGGTTCGCCTTTGGCTAGTGTCCAGCAATTTGGAATTTGGGAGTGTTCCCCCCATTCCCTAACTGATTAGGGTGGTTTACTGTGCCTGAAATGTTTGTACAAACAATAGGGTTTACATTGATCATCTGCTTTCCTTCTGGGAATCTGAATTTTGGTACATGGCAGGCAGAGAGTGCCTACGTGACTGAGCCCAGTGAACAGCCTAGTGACTACCACGCCCAGGCTCGGGCAAGCCTCCCTGGTGGAAGTACTTTGCTCGTGATAAACATGATTGCTGGAGGAAAGAAGCTCATCCTGCGTGACTCCATTGGGGGATGACTCCTGGAGCTTGTGCCTGGTCTCTCTGAACTTTGTTCATGGGCCTTTTCCCGTCGCTGAGTTTGCTTGGTGTTCTTTCTCTGTAATAAATCATAGTTGTGAGTACAGCGCAATGCTTAGTCCTGTGGGTCCTAGCAAATCACTTAAACTGGGAGTGGTCTTGGAGACCCCAGACACAGGTGGTAACTTGGGCAAATGTCCTCAGGGAGGGGAATTCTCTATAAGTTCAACAATGCAGGCATTTGATAACTATGGGGAGAACAATGTCTACAAGAACAGCCGAGGTGGCTGGTTACTGCCAGGTTGTGTTGAGGACGTTCAGAAGGATAATGCGAGACTGAGGGCTGCTATCAAGCTGAGGCCTTTTCTCCTGCAATGGAAGGGTTGAAACAGCTGAGCTTCAGGCTGAACATCTAATTGTTATAGTAGCAGAGGTTCAGAGACTTGAATGTTCAGCCAAGATCTGTCTCTTTTACGAAAGTCAAGGCCCTGGTGGGGAAAGACTAGAACTGTGAAACATGCCATGGAGACATCTGGATGGATGCCCCAGAGGATGTTGACTGTGCAGTCCCTACTGCACTCTCTGGTCTTGCAGAAGTAGCCCACCCTTCCTTAGCAAGTCACCTGTGCTATGCTAGGAGATGCTGCAGAGGCTGCCACCACACCCCCCACCCGCTTCAGACAATAACTGCCTCCACCTACTCTCTTGGCTGCCAGGCTCATAACTAGGGTTGAGTCACAGCAAAGCCTCACTGTGGATGTGCTGAGCCTTGTAAGGGAGAGAAGAGATTAGACACCAAAAATGTAAGAATTAGCTAGATATACTGGCAGGAGCCAAGGAAGTTCTACTGGGATTAGATTTTGAGAGCGCTTGATCAAGGACTAAACTCTCCAGTTAAAAGAAGGAATTCAAAGTGCAAAAACTAAGTGCAAAAACTAATCCAGCAACAAGTTGTTTACAAGGAACACACCTAAAACAAGGACACGGAAAGATCGAAAGTGAAAGGATAAAGATACAGTGGCTGTACGTTCTCCAAAGGCAAGCTGAGTTAGTTATATTCATATCAAACAGACTTGAAGGAAAAAAGCATTATCAGGGAGAGAGAAAGCTACTTAAATTCTTTTGTTTTGTGAGGAATATCAGCCCTGACCTAACATCCGATGCCAATCCTCTTTTTTTGCTGAGGAAGACTGGCCCTGGGCTAACATCCGTGCCCATCTTCCTCTACTTTATATGGGACGCCACCACAGCATGGTTGACAAGCAGTGCGTCGTGTGTGCCTGGGATCCAAACAAGCAAACCCTGGGCAGCTGAAGCGGAGTGCACGCACTTAACCGCTGCGCCACTGGGCCAGCCCCAAGCTACTTAAATTCTTAATCAACTCACCACAAAGTTAAAATAATTCTTATCTTGTATATACCAATTTAAAGTAGCCTCAAAATGTATAAAGCAAAAATTAATAGAACCACAAGAACATTATAAAAATCCATCACAATAGTGGGAGGTTACGACAACTTTCAAAGAAATAGGAAAGAAGGAAGATTTGAACAGCAAAAGTAACAAGATTGTTTTAAAGTTCAAGTTAAGAGGGTATTTGGTTGTAAAAGAAAGACCTCGGGCTTATAAGTAGGAAGATAGATGATAAGAAGGAAAACTACATACACAAAATGTAAAACAGACACTAACATTTGGATTCTCTGCTTTGAAAAGGTAAAATTTGCAATTTGCTAACATGCCAGCAGGGGGCAGCAGGTTCCAAATGTGATATTAATTCTACTTACGTTTATTGTTAGAGCCAGAAGGCTTTACGAAGATTATCGAATAAAATACTCTTTATTATGAGGAAGAATAAACTGAGGACTAGAAAAGTTATATTACTTGTCTGGGGTCACACAGCTAGTGTCAGAGCCAGGACTCAGATCCCTCTCTTGAGTCTAGTTTAATAGGCTGCATTCAAAGAGGGAAAGGGGAAATACAGATGAAACCGTCAGCTTTTCAGTCTCCACCCTCCCAATAATTATTTTTATTTTTCTTAAGTGGTGCAAGGTTTGCTGGAGCCTAGGATTGATTCAGTTTTTATTTCTTAAAATGATGGTTGAGCTGGACTTGAATTTCACTAGAAATAGTTTTTCTGTAGTTGAGAGACTGTTAGAATGCAGGAACTCCTCAAGTTACATAGTAGACTCCTGGATCCTTGAGACTACAGCATTTCCCCCTCCCCCACACACAACTGACCTCTTCCTGTGCGCGCAGGTCCCCATGTTCTTTAGGAAGCAAGGCTGCAACAGGGATATTTGTGACATTCAGGAGGGCGTCATTCTCACTCAGTGCCTCCCTACCCTCATCCTCTCCACCATTAAGGGTATTGTACCTCTGCCAAGGGTTGTAACAAATGGTTTGGCGGCATCTGAAAGCAGAAAAATAGAACTCGGAAAAAAAAAAAAAAATCAAAAACTGATTTTTCAGATTAAAAAGGCAATAAAACAGAAACTGCTGGCTACACTAATCATGAAAAAAGAGAGTAAAGGCAAATGTAAAAAAGAAGAAATAAAGGAGAAATAGCCACAAAAGCAGAGGAAACTAAAAGGATGATAAAAGACCATTTTGTTCAATTCTATATGAATAAATTTGAAAGCTTTTCTAAGAGAATGTAATTTATCAAAACTGAAGTTTTGATATATTGTAAAATCTAAACAGATTTCCATAGAAAAACTTGTCAGAGTGCTCGCCAATTTTGTCAAAATTGTCAAATTACCACAATATATGATTTCACAGGGCAATGCCACCAAACCTTTAAAGAGCAGATAATTCCAACGCCTAGCAAGAGAAAAACTCTAAAAAGAGAAGAAAACTTCTAAATTGT